AAGTCTGTGAAACTTATGCATAGCCCTTTCAACTCTCCAGACTGGACAGTGAAGAGGCCAGCGGTACTTGAAGGATGACTGGACGGTCGTGCACTGAGCGAGGAGGTGCCCCCTAACATGCTGCAGGGCTGGATATGCATGTGCTCACGGGCCGTCGGCCACTGTGTAATGTTCCATTACAGCAATACTGTGCGATCAACCTCGGATTCCCTCACAGACCTAGAGGCAGCTGCTACACAGATGGCAGAGCATCTGCAAATGTGTAGATGGGCAGTCAATCTGAGCAAAGGTCAAGGGCCAGGCTTGTCGGTCAAGTTTTTGGGATATCGTCTAGTCATTCAAGACCCAGGTAATTCCGAACACAATAAAGTACAAGCAGTTTCTCGCCCTGCACTGTGGCATAGCTACAGAGTTTTTTGGACTTGTTAAGCTATTATTGAGCCTTTATCCCCCATTTAACTATGACCGATAAGCCTTTGTATGGTTTTCTCCGATGGTCAACTTGCACAGTGTTGATGGGTCAAATGTACATTTTGAGTCTTCAAAAGTGCAAGAGAAAGTGCTCCTTGGGACTGGGGCCCTGATCAGGAACAAGTGTTCCTGGCTGCTAAATGCCTGGTACAAGCAGCTCAAGCTTTGCAAGTGGCAAATCCACAGGAGGCATCTGAGTACTGGCCCTGCCCCACAGACCTGAGCGACTGCATCAGCCAGTGGGACTCCAGTCGCAGCTGTGGGAGGACCTGAGCACCAGTATTTTCTAACAGAAGTGGCCGGCGGGAGTGAGCCTCTGAGGTTATAATGGGGACGGCCCTGGTACTAATGGGAACTTCTTACCCCATCGAGGAGTGGCTTCAACACCGATTGTAGATGGAGCACAGACTCCAACTTCAGTAAAATGGAGAACTTACTCGGCAGAGAGGGGGGCATTTTCTACTCGCCTCTTATCAGAAAACTTCAGCAAGTGGGGGACCTGATATTCGACAGTAAACAAGTACTGAATCCTACGTTACAAGTGCAGGAAAAAAGAAAGAAAGAAAGAAAGAAAGAAAGAAAGAAAGAAAGAAAGAAAGAAAGAAAGAAAGAAAAAAAGAAAGAAAGAAAGAAAGAAAGAAAGAAAGAAAGAAAGAAAGAAAAAAAGAAATCCTTGAACTCTTAAATACTGTGTGAGTCCCTAGAAGAGTGGCAATCACACGTTGCTGGAGCACCAAAGAGGAAATGCCGCAGCTGCTCAAGAAAACCTCAGAGCAGACCGAGGAGCAAACCTCAGCCTCCAAGGCGACAAGGGGACCAACGCCCCTGACAGCGGTTCTGTTCCCTAGCTACTAACCATTGCCTTTGGAATTACCCAGGACCTTCACGACTCACTACATGAGAACACCTGGCTCAAGACAGAGAGGAAGTTACCTCCCAGGTAAATGATGGAAATTTCAGATATTTGATTAAATAGCAGTTCCCAAGGCACTAGCCCCAACCTTCATCAGACAGTCCCATCAGGACCCACGTTGGCCGAACAGTCCTTGAGAAGACATTGGGCCGGCGCGTCTATGTCCCTCGACTTTCCAGCATAGCTCGGTGATAGACAAGCAGAATAACCCGCATCAAGGACTCGAGGTCCCCACAAAATTCAGAATGTTGGAAGGGCCCCACTTAAAAATATACCTGAAGGCTTCCCTGAGCTCCGCCAGTGAAGGTAGCCAGACAGTCCCCTGGATTCACCACAACCGAGTAAAGCCAGCTTCTTGAGCCTGGAAATGCACTTTTGACCCATCAACACTGTGCAAGTTGACCATCGGAGAAAGTAAGCCATGACCCCAGAGCCTGAGAGGACTACTGCCCTGCTCTAGCCACTCCGGAAGCTGATTAGACTTCGCACAGCAGAAGCTTAAGGAAAGAGAAAGGTGAAACTCTCTTAAAAAAAAAAAAAAAAAAAAAACTTGTGTCTGGCTCTGGCAGAGCCTAGATCTCAGACTCGAAAGGTCTCACCTCGCTTCGTATGTAGGAAAACTTACTTGGGAGATCACAGCCTTGGGAGACTGGAGAACTGGATCCCCTCAAGTGTAATCGTGAGACAGGACACCCCAATCCCACCACTGGGGTTTGGCTTCTTAAAATATCAATTGTAGAAAAACAAACAAACAAACAACAACAACCAAAAACCTTGCTTGATGGGGAGGATAGTTTAACATTTGCGATGGCAGTCCGACATCCCTGGATCCAAGTTTCTATAATGTAAACACCCAGAAAACCCAGGAGTGGGGATCCCTAAATCACTCTAAACCAGATCCTTGCCTTAGGAATGGCAGAGACCGCTCCAGCCAGCTGGAAGACTTAGTTAGTCTTACCATGCCTGACCTCCTTAGCTGTAAAATCTGTCTCCAGCCTCGTCTAGCCCACGATCAAAAAGGCAATGGCTCCCCTGTAATGTTATGGAAGCACAAACCCCTAATCTAAGATGATGGTCTTTGACTCTAATACGGCCTGAGCCTCCAAGGGGGGATGTAGTAGGAAGGCCTTCCAGAACAACAAAATAATGGGGCGTGGTTGAAGTCTAAGTGCGCATGTGAAGCCTGTAGGGACCTCGGAGCCCTGTCTCTGCAGCTACTCTGTAACTCCATGTGCGCCTGCCTATCTAACAGCCCAGTAGCCCAGTGCATAGCTGCGTAATTCTGTAGCAGCCTTATCACATAAGATGCCCAATGAAAGAATATGTAACCATATAAAGGGAACAAGGAAACTAAAATGAATATAAGGAAGGGCCCCAGGAAATTCCGGGCTCAGCCTTTGCATGTGAATCTGCTGAGCCAGTACTGGCACAAGTAAACTGTTTTCCTGCTAAAGGCCTCGGTGTCCTGTCTCTCTCGTAAATGTCTCGCTACCATACCTTATGGCAGGTAAAGCGTGGCGGCCCTCCATAAAGATAAATTCCTGTCCAAGTTCCTGGATCTGATAAATGTGACCTTGTCTGGAAAAAGGATCCTCGTAGCATGTAGCTCAGTGAGGGAACTGGAGATCGACTCATCCTTCGTCACACCACTAGGCCATAAATCCAGAGGCAAGTGTCATCACAACAGAGAGGACACAGACGTGCAAAGACTAAGGCAGCGCAAGACAGAGGCAGAGATTAGTGAGCGGCCATAAACCACAAAAACCGAGGAATGCCAAGTGCCACCAGAAACTGGGGAGTCTGAGGGTGGTGGGGAGGGATTCTGGCAGACAGTTTCCAGGGGAGTGTGACCCCAGAGACAACCTCACTTTGAACTTCTGCACGTCACATGTATGGAGAACACCTTTCTGTGGTTTCTAGCCGCCCAGCCTGTGGTGACCCGCCCAGGCCTGGGGTACCTTGTTCGGCCAGCCATGAGACCCTGACGCAGACTCCCAGCTACTACCCAACACAGCGGGATTATTCAGAAGGAAACCACAGGCAGCATATGGCTTCACCTGTGAATAGCAGTCTTTACCACTGGAAAGCATTTCTCCTCTAACATAATCACAGTACCCTAACATCACACTAAGATTTCATAATTCCTTCATGTCATCAGGTTCATCGTTCTACTTCTCTGAATTGTCTCATAAGGCTTTCTTTGCAGTCGGCCCATTTGTGTCAGCAAACAGGCAAGGTTGATGTACGGCGTTTGCGTGAGATGAATAAGCAAGCACACGTTGTAGAGGGCCAGTGTGTGTGGACATCAGGAGACGGTGTGTGGATTTGGAACTCTCAAGGCCCAGACTCAGACCACTAAGTTGTACATGGGGTTCTGCACAGTGTCATTGTCCCCTTGTGATGAAGTCGTGGGGACACCGCAGGGCAACACCCCAGGCCAGGAGCGCACAGGCCAGTGGAGGAGAGACAATGACCTTCAGGTGCTAGGAGAGCTCACTGGGACTCTGTGGAGGGCACAGAGAGACTCCATTACTCCCCGGGAAGCAGGGAGGTGGGGATTTAAGTGTGGCCAGGTGAGAAGGAGCCTGCCAGGCAGAGTTAGCAAATGTGCCCAGGCAGGGGAAGGGGCCCCCACCAAGTCCAGGGTGCTGATTGGACTGGAGGTCAGGTAGGGAGAAAGGGCATGGGGACTCAACTGCAAAGGCAGAGACTTACTAAAGAACTGATGATCAGATTAACATTTTAGTAAAACTACTCCAGGTGAGAGAAGAGAACTAATAGGCGGGGAGCCTCCTGTGCCCCTTGGCTTCCTCTCCCCGCCCTACGCCCCACTGTGGAGCACTCACTCTAAGAGAAGAACTCGATAGGCCAAAGCCCAGGTTTCCTGACCCACTGCGGGCCCAGGAAGTGGCTGATGAAGAAATTGCTCCTAATACAAGCACTCCGGCACAGTGAGGTGCAGGGAAATGAGGTAAGATGTCTCCTTTGGTCTGTGATCCACATACATAACCCAGATCTGGGAAGCCCGGGTCTGAATGCACTTAGAGAACTGGGAGGAGGGTTCATGCCAAGTTGGCCAGAGCACAAGGAGCAGAGTGAGGATGTGCTGTGTGCACGTGTTCGGGGAGGGCCAACGGGGTCGCCTGAGAGCAGAAGGGGGTTCATCTTGTTCCTCGTTATTCCCCACCTCCTACAACACAGAAGAATTCATAGTAGACATGGTATTTTTTTTTAAGAATTATTTTATTTGACTTATTTATTTATTTATTTTAATTTGATGAGAGAGAGAAAGGCACCAGGTCCAGGACTCGAACTTCAGTCAGCCATGTGGGAGTCCAGCACCCTCAACCACCATGCCATCTGCCAGCCCCTAGACACAGTAGCTTTTGAAAATTAATAGAATGATCATTTGAATGATCAGAAAGAAAATGGCTCTCCAGGAAAAGAAAATGTTGTTAAGTCATTGCCCCGGAGGTAACTGTTCCTGTGCCCACCTGACGTCTCAGAGCTCACGTTCTACACTTCCCTCTTTGATAGGCTACATGACTGCTGTCAAACAGTCCACATAATCAACGTAACCTTTTTTTAGTTTTGGAAAAATAATACATAGTACACATTTTTTCTTTGTAAATTTAATTTTTAATTCCAGGAAAGAGGATAAAATGAGACTGGAAACATGATTTAATATCAGATTCTAAGGAAAAGGAGTGAATTTTTTACTGAGTCTGCTCATAGGAGTTTTATTATTATCATTCACATATATAATTAGAAAAAGTTATTAGCTTCACAATGGCCAGGATCAACATTTAGTTAAGCGCTCCATTCTTGGAAGACTTCAGAACATTACTGCCAAATGTGCTTGGCATCCAGGCCTGCTTTATTTAATGTTGAAAATCTTCTTTGCTTTCTCTAAACTTTTTTCATCCATGGGAGGCTTCCTCTGGCTGCCAGGCTGCAGAAACTTCTTCACAGTGGGGAGGTTGCTGATTCTGGTTTTCAGAGCCTGGGAACATATAAGTCACAGCCTCAATGGGGAATTCAAAGACCAAATCAGTTATTAGCACAACCCAAGAAATCTGTGACCCTCCCAGGCAAAAAAACAATTCTTCCAACAGCACCTGGATAGAGGTGAGGAAACGGATACCCAGTGAGATAGGATGACAAGAGGAAGAAAATACAGCTCAAGAGCATTTTTTTGGAAGACTTAAGTATTGAGTTCACAGTCTTCCCTCTTGTTCCTTACACATTAATCCTGAATTCATGGCTCTTATGCAATCCAAGGACAATAATGTGACTGTTCGATGAGAACAGAGTCTCCAACAAGAGGAGGAGAAGAGAAAAATGAGTTAAAAATGAAGACGTAGATATTAAAGGCTAACTAAAGGCCAATCAAAACAATTTCCCACTGAGAGACAGAATGGGGGTGGGGTAGAGTGCTGGGGGAGAGCTGTGCAGAAATGACCACAAAGTCTGATAGTAGGGGCCAGAGTTGTGGGAAGAAAATGAGATGGAAAGAGACCTGCTCAGACAGACTCAGGCATGGAAAGATGGACTGGGATACAGGGAATCAAGGAGAAACCAGGAACAGAGACCACATTGTGATTGGGCTGGGAAGAGAGACGCTGGGTCCTGAATCCTCGGTGTAAAAATCAAAATACAGTAGCATCCACATCAAATTTCATGCCTTAGGTCAGGACCTGGAAGCTCAGTGTGGAGATCTGGGTCAGGGACAAGAGGCTGAATACCTAAAGAAGGCAGAGTTCAGAAAGCCACCAGCTCCAGGGTTTAAATATTAGATTCCAAGATGGAAGATATGGGGCTACCTCTCTGAGGGCTGGAAGATAAATTACCTTCAGCAGAGGGAAGTTGGTGATGAGGCTGGGATCAAGCTCTTCTACTGCATAGAGAAGTTCAACCAAATGAATGTCAGCCTTGCTCAGCTTGTTGCCTACCAGGTAGTCTTGTCCATGGCTCTTTAACACCTGTAGATTTTGAGGATTCGGATCAGAAATACAAGCTCAGTTTGCTGGACAACATCTGCTTCTTCCCAAGCTTGTCCTGTCTGACTCTCCCACCTTTGCTGCCTCAGTGGGTGGATGTCTAGCTACAGACTTTGTCCACGTCCTCTGATTCATGGGGGAGAGAAGAGTGTCCTCTGCTCACTTCTCAGTGAAGCCCTGGCTACCATTTTCCTCATTCCCATATCCCTGTGGTGTTAATGCCACCCACCCTTACTTGCATCTTCTATAAATGCCAAGGGTTTAGACCTACTAGAGCGTGTTTCCAGAAGCCTTTGTCCTTGAGTGCAGTCTTATAGTTTTAGGACATGCTTCTTCACTGCTCTCTCTAGCTTTCTGGGCTAGGACTCCATTTTATCATGGCACTCCTCACCCTGTATAGAGTTTATGTTTCTCCTCTGGTCTCTTCCTCACATTGCCTAGATGATAGCTCTACAGTCTGAAGTAAACTTTGATAAACTTGAATTCAAGACATCTTCTTGTGTCTGACTCCTAACTTAACAATATAACAGCAGCATGCTGAAGTGTTTATGCATGAATTGAACTTATGCCTGCAACTTATAATGAAAGGTATGGAAAAAAAAAGTTTGATTGAAGGAGAGTGAGATGGACACATGATAAAATAAACATGTAAGAAGTTAATTTTGCTATCAACCAGCAGATGGCGTAATGGCTACATCACTGGACTCCCACATAGTCAACCATGGTTCAAGTCCCAGACATGGTGACTGAAACGCACACCAGGAACATGTGCATGCATGCCCAAGATCCTGAGAGGAGAATGGAGGAGAAGGGATTGTAGCATGGCCATCCCCCCTGGGGGGGGGGTGATGTCTCACTTTCTGTCTCTCTGTCTTTCTGGTAAGCACACATGCCCTATAGCAAAAATCTCTCTCTCAAAAAAAAAAAAAGTTAATTTTGTTATCTAGGTGGTGCTCATTAACCATTTATTCTGAATTTTATGATGGCACAAAGTTTTCTTAAAAAGATTTTTGAGATAATCTGTAATTTATTTTTATTCATTTATTTTTTTTAGTTTGCTATAGGGCATGTGCACTCATGAGAGAGAGAGAGAGAGAAAGTGAGAAAGCATCCCCCAGGGGGTTGGCCATGCCACAATCCCTTCTCCTCTGTTCTTTCAGGGCTTGGGCATCCACCCATGCATGCCCAGAGTGTTTTTCAGGCCACAGTGTTTGAGACTTGAACTACACAGTTGGCCATGTGAGATCCAGCTGCATTAATCAGCACACCACTAGCTAATCTGTGTAATATTTATTTTATTAAGTTTATTTTTTTTACTTTTTTTAATGTGTAAGAGAAACAGAGATGAAGAGACAAAGAGATATCACCCCCAACAATAGCTTGATGCCATGACCCATCCCCAGCTCCAGGCAGTCCTGTTCATGTGCACCCGTGTACCAGGCATAATCAGGGAGGACCCCAGACTCCGACTTTGAACCTCTCCATGTGGGTGCTATTACAAAGCATTGTGTTTTACCACTGAGGCACCATCTGGCCCCAATATTCTAGTAGTATAGGGGCCAGCAGATGGCATAGTGGTTATGTTGCTAGACTCCCACATGGCTCACCGTGTATTGAGTCCTGGACCCAGTAGCTTGAAATTCTCACTGGGAACAGGTGCATGCATGCCCAAGATCTCAGGAGAAGAATGGCAGAGAAGGGATTGCAGCATGCCCATCCCCCCTGGAGAGTGATTTCTCACTTTTCTTCTCACTGTCTCTCTCTCTCTCTCCAGCAAGAGCACGTGCCCTGAGGAAGAAACCACTACCCCTCCCCCAAATTCTAGCAGTATAAAATCATAAGGAATAAAAATTTAAAATATACATAACACCTTCAATTTAATATAACATTTTGACAAATACCCTTTCCCACTAGCTATATAAATACAAGTGTGAAAAATTGCTAGTACACATTAGAATGCACATCAAAAGGTATATTGTGTACACATTGTTCATTTATGTTTTCTCGGGGCTGTTTGTTTCCATGGTACAGATGTACTGATACTGTAATGGCTGTAGAGCTTGTCGTCATGTCATGTTCCCTACCCCCC